GAACTGATTCGATGGCAGTGAGTTATATAAGAATATACCGCCTTTCACAACAGATATCACCTCTTCCATAAACCCAGATTTCTGCCCCCAGTTCTGCTGAGCTGTCCTCTCTACGCTCACACTCCGCACGCTACTCTAAGCATATCTCTACTACAGCCTTTCTGACACTGTTAAAACATCCTGTATTATGTTGGTCTCTAAAAGGCCATCTTAGACAGTTTTCTCCCTGAGAATGGGAACCATGTCCTAGCAATCACTAAGCCTTTTCACTGTGCATACTCACTGCCATCAAGTCCAGTCTAAAGGAGTCAGCCTCAACTTTCTCTTGCAGAGGAGCAATAGGCTTTGAATCGTAAACCTTGTAGTTAATAGCCCAATGCCACAGAGCTTAACGTGTAGCAGATGCTCAATAAATGTTTATTCATAGAATCCTTAAACCTAACCTCCAAAAACACCAAAGACTGCCTAAGAAAAATGCTTTAAAATATATAATATAAAAAATTATAAGATGCAAAAAAAATAATTGGAGATGTGAAAATTAGTCAATAACTTGAGAAGGAAGGGTAATTTGAGGGTCTTCGGATAAAACATAAATCTAGAAGTACAAAAAGAAAGGAAAAGAAAAATTCTTAATTCACAGATCAGACTCACAGTAAAAGATCTCATTAAGATCATTGGAACTATAAAGATACTTGCATTTCCCCGTTAATAATTCTTTTAAAAGATAGAATATTCTGATCCTAAAGCTGCTCCCAAATGTGTGCATGCAGCTCTAGGACTCCCCTGGTCCAGCTCAGAGGATAAAACGAACACACAAACTCACATGGCTCCTTACCTGGGGCATATTCTGCTTGTTCAACACCTGCCATAGAAACCACCGCTCCCTTTTGGTGGTTCGTCGTACACGGAACATGGCAGCTATGGAATACTCTTCAGGAAGGCCTTTGGGAAAGATCTTACTGTAGGAGGAACACAAAGAGCTATTGTGGGAAAACTGAAGTGTCAAAGGAAGAGAATCTAGCTGTGCTGGTTTATGTAGCACAGTATCTCAGTCATAGGCTTTCCCTCAATACACTGATCACTTGTCAAGCACTTTAGAGTGACCTACCTTACGGAACTATGGAAGCAGTTGTGCCTAAATTTCCAGTGCCATTTTAATTTTTGTTCTTGCTCTCTCTTCTTCCTGTCTTTTCTTATGTATTTTATCCTTCTACCGTATATTCTATTACATTATGACAGTCTACAGTGTGTGAGAAGGAGTGGGTTGCAGTAGCCACTATAGTTTTGATACCCCTCACTCAACACGGTGCTCCAACAGGGTAGAATCAGAGACTGCAGCCTTACAAACAGTAGGGATTAAGAAAGAAAATAAAAAGTACCTTCTGGGTGGTTTTTTGGTAGAGGAAAGTACTAAGAATTTTAAAGAAAACTGATAGCAAGCAAATGTATTTTATTCCAAAGAAGGTGTATCGTATTAATCTCTTCTGGATTAGTTCCTAATATTGATTTCCTAATGGCAATTTCAAAGACCCGGTTGTGTAGTGGGTAACACATCAGGCTGCTAACCACAAAGTAGTTCAAAAACCAGGAGCTGCTCTATGAAAGAAAGATGAGGCTTTCTGCTCCCATGAGATGTAATTTCAGAAACCCATAGGGGCAGTGCTACCCTGTCTGTTATGGTCGCTATGAATCAGAATCGACTCTACGGCAGTGAGCTTGAGTTTTTTGTTTGTTTGTTTGTTTGTTTGTTTGTTTGTTTGTTTTGAGGCTTGTGTTAGACAGGGCTCTCTAGAGAGATAAAACCAGATTGCTGATAATTTTATATATTTATTTATAAAGATAGCTAGCTATATAACACAAGAAATGAACTGTTAAATTATATATGGATAAGATAGAAAAATAAGAAATGAACAGTTAAATTATAAAGCAGTACAAATGGCTCAGTGCAACTCACTCCCGTGAGAGAGTAGTGAGACACTAGCAGTCCTTCAAGTCTCATCTGCTGCCATGTCTTCCTCTGTAGATAGAGAGAGCTAGGCTATCTTAGCACAGCAACCAATCACAAGGAAGGTCACCAACTGTCAGCCAGGTCACCAACCACTAGTCCCCAGCTCCAGAGATGTCTTAAAGGGACCTCAACTTATAGTAACACAGTCCACAGGCTAGGCAGCCCACAGGTAGTGTAGCCTTTAAATTGAGGCACAGAACAAGCAAGGCAGCCACACACTGGTCTGATGATCAAAGAGTGAGAGACAAGAAAGGCGAGGCTCACCAAGCCATTTATCTCTTCGCCCTTCAGTTAATCCCACTTGTGTTTATCAGCCAGGTTGGCACAATAAACTATCTCAGCGCTTAATATCAATTTGATGGGTACAGCTATAACAGGAGTTTTTAACTATGATTTTTATTCCTACCTAAAGGAAAATCAATAAAACTTCCCTAGACAACAGGGACAGAGAGAGACAAAAGAGCTCAAATATCCTCTGCCTCTAGGTGATGTCAAATCCAGTGGACCCATTTTAAAAAAACACAGACAAAAATCACAATAAATATATCTTGACTTTCAACTTTCACTGGAAAATAAGGAGGCATATGTTCCTTCAGTGTGACTTTAAGTTGATCCATAATACTCTCAGACCTCTGCAAGACAGAGATCTTGTTTTCTTTTCAAAAACCAGGAGGAACTGTAGATAAGAGCCCTCCAAACGACAAGCATTCCAGGTGCTGTTATTTATAAATAAAATACCACATTTTGTGATGGTACCCTAGAAATCCGAAGTTCTACACTCAATTTTATTGAAACTGACAACCAAACTGTCACCAAGAATTCTGAAATTTCATTTTCCTTTTTAGGTTAAAGACAAAATCACATGTTGTTGATGAAGAACTCAAGAAAAAAACCTACTGTAAGGGTGTGCTTGCATATTGTTCTTATTTTCTCACTTGGTTAGGCAGATATTAACTACGTAAGTAAAGTAAATTAGAACATATTGCATTAATACATATGGGGCCTTCACAAGTCCATAGAAAAATTCTATTATCTTTTCATTCAACTTTTCCTTCGAAATTTTTTGAAGCCCTCTCACATGTCTCTGAGTGGTAGAAATGTGGAAGTGCTTTACTACTATGCAAAAAAGCAGGCTGTGGCAGCCAGGAACACCTCAGGAGAGAGGCCTGGCTCTACCATGTACTATGAGTCAGAGTCAACTCAACAGCAACAACTATGAACACACACACACACACACACACACACTGGAGGGTAAAGCAAAAATAATTTCAGTTCATAAGCTCATGGGTTTATTTAAAACAAAAAAGATTAAAATATGTCTCTGCGATCCACAGATAGCTGCAGACAAGTCCTCTGGGTAATACAGTTGTCTCCAGCTCCTTAAAATGCCTTTTTTAAAAGTCCAATCAAAACAATGGCTTCCTGGAGAATCTAGTAGGCCAGCAAAGTTCAAGAAGAGAGGTCAACTCAGAAGGTTTTAAAAATTGGTTTTAGAGGCTCCAACAATAGTACTCTTGATAGATTTTTTTGATGGGCAAAGGATAATCATGGGATTTATTATTTTTTCAACTTGCTTTTCTGATTTATTTACTTTTTTAAGAAAAAATTTATTGATAAGAATTATTTTCTATCACAACACCCCTTCTTATCCTTCAAAAGTAGCAAGGGCCTGTCTAATAAGAATTTTACTGCAAAATCTATATAACCCTGATCTTGCCCCTTCAGACTTCTTTTTGTTCTCCAAACTCAGAGAACACTGGAAAGGAACATGATTTGAGCCCAATGAGGAAAACTTAGTATAAATTGAAAAGTGGAAAATTCTTCTGGAAAGGGTAAGCTATATGGAAACAAAACTTTCAGATATATCTAGGCCCAGATAGAGACTATGTTGAGAAATAATGACTTTACATTTTTATTTCTGCTCAGTAAAGGTGTCTATGAATTTGTGTTTCAGTTTGCTGTACTGTGATGGCTTGTGTGTTGCTATGATGCTGGAAGCTATGTCACTGGTCTTTCAAATGCCAGCAGGCTCACTGAAAGTAGGCCAAGGTTTCAGCGGAGCTCCCAGAGTAAGAACAGCCTATGAAGCCCACCTCACAAGCAGTTGCCACTGAAAATTTCATGCACAGCATTGAAACATTCTTAGACACGGAAGGCCTAATAAATGGAAGCAAAACACGATCAGAGAAAGTGTTAGAGGACGGGCCCCTCCGGTCGGAAGTCAATCAAAACGTGACTGAGGAGTAGCTGCTTTCTCAGGGTCGAGTGGACCATGGTAACATGAATGGAGTAAATAAAGCCTGTGGGAAAGGAGCCTGCCTGATCCTCACTCTCTGATGGGGCACACATCAAGGTAAGAAGAAACAGCGGCTAATAGCTACTAATACTTAGACTCTGGAAAGTACAAAGTATGAATCTAGGAAATCTGGAAGTCATCAAAACTGAAATGGAATGTATAAAGTTATACCTACATACTCGAGTATAAGCTGGCCCGAATATCAGCCGAGGCACCTAATTTTACCACAAAAACTGTATTAAAAATGTGCTGAAAAAACTCGGCTTATACACGAGTATAAACGGAATATCTTAGGCTCTAGTGTGATGAAACGGACTGTCGTTGGCCTTTCGAATTAACAAATCATGTGGTTTACCATGCTGGGAATGACAATCAAGACAACCAAGAGGAGTGGTGTTGCATTCACAATGAAAAAGTTCAATCTTGAAAGTACAGTTCTGTCTGTGATAGGATTGTATCAATTTGTCTTCAAGGAAATCTAATCAATACAACTATTATTAAAATTTATGCACTAAGAGCCCAACCAAGTGATGAAGCTGTTGAAGAATTCTGCCAAAGTCTTCAGTCTGAAATTGATTAAACATGCCATCCAGATGAATTAGTAACTAGTTGAGATTGAAAGCAGAAGTTGAAAACAAAAAGGAAGAAACAGCAGTTGGAAAAAAAATGGTCTTGGTAATAGAAACAAAGCTGGAGATCACATGATAGAAATCTGCAAGATCAACAACTTGTTCATAGCAAATACCATTTTTCAATAATACAAATGGCCCCTATGCATGGACTTATCCCAATGAAAAAAACCGAAATCAAATTGACTACATCCATGGCAAGAAATGATGGAGAAGTTCGATATCTGCAGCTAACATCTGGCCAGGGGCTGACTGTGGAACAGACCGTCAATCATTCATTTGTAAGATCACATTCCAACTGAAGAAAATGAAAAAAAAAAATCCAGAAGAACAAAAAATACAAGCTTGAGTCTATACCACCCACATTTTGAGAAAATATCAAGAACAGCGTTGCTGCACTGGACACTAATAAAATAGAATACCTGATGAAATGTGGAAAAACATCAAAAACATCATTTATGAGTAAAGCAAAGGATAATTAAAAGACAAGAGAAAGAAAAGATCAAAGCGGATGTCACTACAGACTCTGAAACTTGCTCTTAATTGTAGAGTAGCTAAGGCAAATGGGAAAATGATCAAATCAAAGAGCTAAATGGAAAATTTCAAAGGGCAGCTCAAGAAGACAAAGTAGAATATTATAATGAAATGGGCACAGATCTTGAATTAGAAAAACAAAAAAAGAAGAAACTCAGTATATCTTAAACTGAAAGAACTCAAAAAATTCTAGCCTTGACTTGCAATACTGAAGGACTGCAATACTTGCAATACAATAGGCAAATTATTGAATAATGTAGGAAGCATCAAAATAAGATAGAAGAATAACAGAGACACTGTACCAAAAAGTACTAGTTGACATTGTACTATTTCAAGAGGTAGCATATGAGGCAGAACCAACATTAATGAAGGAAAAGTTCTAGTTGCCCTGAAAGCATTAGCCAAAAACAAGGCTCGAGGAATCGATGGAATACCAATTGAAGTGAAGCACTGGAATCACTACTCATCTATGCTAGGAATTTTGGAATATAG